TAAAGAATGGAACGTATCTCTATCTTATAGGGGGGTTGACTGTATAGAACCTATATTACATATTAATTTTTAAATTTTTATGTAGTTTTTATTTGATACAATAAATAAAATTAATAGAAATATTTTTGAATCAAATTCAACTGCATGTGTATGATTTTAAAGTTAAGAATATGACTACTATGTAACCCAATTGTTAATCAGGTAACTTAGTTATCATACAGTGATTCTATTACTAACTTAGCTAAATATCAATCTAGCTTTTACATATGTTAAACAATGAAACAATCATTTTTGAAAAATCAAATTTTCAACATGATTTCTATTGTTTGTTTACAATGTAACTATCATTTGCTGTACATTGTAAATACTTTGTTTTAGCAGATTTTCGTTACAGAGCTAACTCAAGTAGATTGCATTCATTAAATAAATTAATGTCATTAAATTAGTAAATCATGCAGCTGGTTTTAATAAAAATTTCAACGAAAACATGTTTGTTTATTTCTGTAAAATTTTCATACTTCTAAATTTATGTTTTAGAAAGTTTTAAAGATATTCAGACAAAACTACATATTTATTTTAATTATATAAAACTTAGAACACTGCTATAAATAAAAAAAAAATATTTCAGCTTTCAGCTCATCAATGAATTCACTATCCTGTATTCAGTTTCCTTAATGATACTTTTCTCGGAATTATTCAAAGAAATTGTAAGCAAAAGTCCTCATTAATTTTTGATTTCTTTGAATAATTTTAAGTAAAGGAATTATCAATAAATCTGTAAATATACAATATAGCATGCTTTATTATTTGATAATTAAAAAATAAATAAATTATTGAAATTATAACAAGAAAATGATACGTAATTACAGTATCTGTACTTGATAAAGTTTTCTATGTAAATATGGACATCATTTTCATACAACTATACAAAACACAGTTATACAGCTATAGTTGCATGTAAATTTATGCTAATTAATGATTAAACACTCTTTTAAAAAGTCTAACATTTATTTTTTTTATATCCTGAAAAATCACTGTCAAACTTTATTACACTGAAGAACCTAAAACAAAATTGGTTACTAGAGTGAATAAACATTAGAAAAATACTAATAATAATAAATAGGAATTAAAAAAAATGATCTCTTTAGTGTTAAAACAGAAGAAAGACAATAATAAGATTAAAAACAAATGTAATTACAAGTACTTTCAATGATGATAATCTTCAGATAGAAACAGAAAAAGAAACACAAATACAGTTTTTAAAATTTTTATATTATGTTCTAAATTATAGTCTTTATTTTAATCTGTTTTAATACCAAAAAGAAATTTCTTTTAATCCAATTGATTAATTTTGTGTGCCCCTTAATATATTGCATATATTTCATAACTACCAGTACTAATATTATATCAACTGAACTGACCAAATTAGTAATTGGTCATGGCTCTCTATCCATAATAATTGCAGTTCTAGTTATATACTACTTAATTATCAAAAAAAGAAAAAATATTCATGTTTTCTAGCACAATTATATAGAATTTTAATTATTTTAAGTAAACAAAATAGAAACAATACTAAGTCATAATTTTCAACTTTTGAATAACTGAAAACTTTTTGAAACCAATTAAAGCTAAGAGTTAATCTATATAAATTATAAGTTTCTAAAGACATTATTCATGAAAAATTATAAAAATACCTGAAGTTCAATTATTTTACTAATTACATGTTTACATTAAAGAACAGTATGTCATTTCACTTTAATAATATAATCATTATTAATACAAATTCTTAAATGGTATCATTTCTGAGACAAAGAATTTATAATTTTGAATATTAAACAAATGTTTCGTAAAAATATTAATAGTTTAATTAATCATTTCAATATTTATTCTCTAATCAGTTTTCTTCATTTAACACGAGCTATAGCAAACAGCTTTATATTTTTAGAAAAGTTTTAAAATTTTATTCATTTTAATATTTTCAAAAATAAAGCATATTCATCTTTAAAGTACTAATTTATTTTTTTGAGTAGAGTTCCTATATACTAAGTCATCTCGACTTAGAATATAGGAACAAGGAATTCTTACATTAAACGAAATATAATTAGTAAAAGAAAATTACATTTCCTACAGCACATAAAGAGTTTCAACTTTCTTAGTTATTAATTTCAGAAAAAAAAAAAAAAAATATGAGTAATACCTTTCAGAAGTAAAAATAAAAAAAATTATTGATATAAATTTTTCATTTTTAGAAATACATACAAAAAGATTTTTATTTAATAATACCGATTTTAGAATACAATGTCATACATAGGCTTTTGGCATACTCCAATACAGAATGTTAATTATTTGATGAGTAGGCACAAATAATGTCTATTTATTCAATGCTTTAAGCTGCTTTTCAATAGAACCATAAACAAGAATGTTGAATAGTCAAAGTTCATGTAATTCTTGAGTCAAAGGGCAAGATTTAAAACTTGTAGCAAGTAATTATAAGCCTATAATGAATCTGATTTTTTCAATTAAGATATAAGCAATGAAATTCATCAAAGCTGGGCAGATGTTCTGAAATATAAACTCAAATACTACAGAGGAGTTATTAAAGCTATATTATATATTCCTTCAAAATACTTCTCAATAAAAATGGTACATTTAATATAATTTATAAATGTAATTAATCGTTTAGTTTAATAAGAATCATTCGACTTGTTTATAAGCTGAAATATTTATATAGAAAATTAATTTTTCAGAATATCTTAAAGTTAAATGAGAATACTTTTACAAAATAAAAATATTCCTTTAATTTTCACATTTAAAAAAATTTATAAACTAAAAATAATTTATTCTTGAAATTTTAAAAACATTTAAACAAATAAAAAGTATTCAATATAAATCATTTTAGATTAATGTTAAAAAAATTCTTGTTATTTTAATGAGTTATACATTTAATTATAAAAATCATTTTACTCGGCATTTTTATTAACAAAAATATATATGAAACTTTGATTATAATCGTTTTTTTATAATTTTCTGTAATTATTTTACATGCCAAAAATAAACAAATCAATGTGTAAACAAAATAAAGTAAGTAAACAAATAATTAATTATTTGCTACAATTATTTGCTTTCTGCATTATTTATATTAAATAAATGAATAATAACAACATATTCATTGTTACTGACAATAATGATAATAGTGATACATTAATTTTTTGTTTTCCAGCAATCAAATTTATTATTTTTTTAATTAGTTGAAACCAAAATTGTCACAAATGTATAACAATTAAATTCTATTTCTATCTTTAATTAAAAACATCAGAAGACCAAGACCTAATTTTCTTGTTAAAATTACTTTTATATACCACAAATGTATAAAAATCATTTATATTTGGCTCAATATAAAGAATTTTAAATATTTTACTTAAAAAAAATCAAATTGATAAATACAAAATAATTTTTTTTTGCTAATTTTTAAATTTAATACAAATTCTTGAATTAAATATATTATGAATTTACTTTGTTTCAAACAATAATAGCTGTTTAGATTGATTACACAATTTTACATTATCTAATATTTTATAATACATCTCAGCATATTTATTAATAATAATTGTTGAAAATAATTTTAATATATTTGTTTTCCGAAAAGATTTTTTAATTTTACGCACTACAATACTTTTATAAAACAAAATATAAATTGTTACTTAATTATGAAATAAAGAAGCATTATATAAAATGTCTGAAATATTGAGTAACTTACTTCATTAAATATATTATTTAAATAAAATTTATACAATCAATACTAACAAATTATTTAGAAATTTAAGACCGAAGCATAATTTTAAATGTTAGAAAACTGAAAAATATAATTATTTTAATTAGAATTTAATATTAAACAATACAAACATGAAAAAATATATAACATGAAACATGAAAAATAAATGTTGTTTTCAAAATTTTATTGTAAATATCTTTTTATATTATACTATTGAATATAATATTTTTCAGTTTTACGCTTAATTTTTTAGGAATCGTAAAACTTCCTAATCAAAATAGTAAGTAATTTTGCTTCGTCAGAGTAAATCTGTCTAATGCATTCAAACAGGACACAATTTCTCATTAATTATAAGTTTTTAATAAAAAAATTTTAAATAAAAAGAAAAATAAATAAACTTTAAAATATTAAGTTACATGAAAACAAATGAATATTTTGAATTTATTTCTTTAATTTATATGTAAAAATAGTACTTCATATAGGCTATATCGAACTTCCTATATATTTAATTTAAGTAAATCTGATATACAAAGATATGGGATACATCTTTAATCATTAAGTAAACATCAACAAGAATATTTTCGAAATGTATTACGAATATGTTAAATGTTCGTACAAGTTAACAAACACCAATTCTTATAATTTACATAATTTTTTTGTCAAATGTAATAATAATACATTTTTAAATAATCTTAAAATAGGAAAAACAATACAAAATATATAACAAAAGCAGAATGATGATAAAAGTTTATTCTAAAAAGTAAACAACAAAAAAAGAAATAGTAAAATTCCATTAAATCATTATCAGAACAACATGTTTATTTTCTACTCCTATAACCTAATTATAACAACAATAACAACAACAACAACAACAACAACAACAACAACAATAATAATAATAATAATAAATTATTCATAATAAATAAATATTGTGAAATTGATAAATTAATTTTTTTTTATATATTTAATAATTTATTGATATATATATGTATATATTTAATTAAATAATGATAATCATAATAATAAAAGGAAATTTTAAAGGACCAATCTTTGCAAATCAATGTAAATATTGACACAACCACGCCGTCCGCCATTAAGAACCACTCCGATAATAACCACGCTGCTCTCTGTTTACCAATTCAAACATTGGCGATTGTTAGAAATTGTGGGTGATATTATACATTAAATTAATTACTTTTGGCAGAATATTTAATAATTTTCTACTCACGTCTTTTGTAATTGAAGAGGTGGTGCACCTTTCCTTTGAAAAACTCCGTCAACAAAAACACCGTTCTTGCCATTACATATCATATAAAAATGAGGTGTCTCAAAGTATATCTCCAAATGCTTTCTCGATATAAAACTAGAATGGCCCATATTAACGTCCACTTCACCCCGACTGCTATTACGTCCAATAGTGATGCGATTTTGGCGTATCATATATTCGAACTCTCTCCCTTCCAAGCGGGCAATGGCCGTCCCTTTTGGTTCCGGGCTCCATAAAGATTTTTTTGGGCTTGTCGGTGCTGATCTGAGGGCTAACAGAGCCCAGGCATCGTTATCGGAAGCTCTGGGAAACGTAGACATCGCTTCCAAAATGGCTGACCACAAACCTTCAACGAGGAAGAATCAATGATCAATGTTGACACCAATCCCACAATCCCATGCTTCTATCACGTGGGTAAACTATTCACTAAAGAGTTTTCTATGTAATATCGATTTTCGGCGCTTGGTGACGCTCTTGGCAATTAATGATTTATATTGATAATTATTTTCATAAATATAACCGATGTTTTTATTGTATAAATATTCTATAAATTATTCTTTTGTGTTTTTTTAAATTATTAATTTATTTTATATACTTAAAATCGTTTATAAGTGGTTTCTGCTTCTTTTATACGTCACCAATTGTTTCATCGTCGTCAAAATTAAATTATAATTAAAATATATATCAAAAGATTGAATTTATGTAATAATTAGAATTTAACATTAATATTTCATAAAAATTCTATGCATTATTTCCTACGTTTTTAATCTGTGTAAATAATTACATATAATATAAATAGTGATTTCTATGCCCGCCCGAGCGGCGCTTTCCAGATTGCATAGATTCCTTTTATTTTCTTGTACTTTTTCTCAGATAATACTTTCTAATGGTATCTTAATAAATAAATTGTTGGTGAAAGAAAACAAATATTAAAATAAAACAGTTTTATTTTTAATATTTGTTTTCTTCTGTTGAGATGAATGAAATGATTGCACCTCATTTTAGTTAAAGGTGAATAGCAATGCAATCCGATAAACATATGTCGGCCATTGGCTGTACCGTGAGATATTTAGTGACCTTTGCGAGCATCGAAGCTAGAATTCGGTTTACAACCCCTATGGATAGTATGAGCCAAAATATCGTTTTCCCAGAACCTTCCTTACTTCATGGGTAAGATGAGTCGGGATATCGTTTCCCCATTCCTATCGTCACTCAAACTGGCGAAATTACTTGTTAAATTTAAATATATTTGAAATGAGAAAATGATTGTTAGACAGGGGAAAACAATTCACCTGCAGGCATGGGGTAACAATTTTGATACCACCGAAATGTAATTCTAGAATATATAGCTGACTATAGTGATATAAATATGCAAGATTTTATTAGGGCGCATCCACACATTCGTTATTCGCCGATTACCGAGTAGGGTGCTTGGTGCAATTTTGCTACCATTCCATTCAAATGCCAAATATTTGAAGATATTACATTTAAAAAACACATAAGCCTACAGAAATTTATCAACATATTATTGAAAGATACTACAGCGATAATAATTTTAAATAAACTGCAGCAATATTTAGTCGCCTGATAGCAAAGTCGCACTAACGCGCTAGTTTCACAAATAAAATATGTAAATTAGCCTAATACGAAAATTAACTGCTCAAGTTATGAACAAAGCAAAATATTCACTAATTTTCAAACAAAAAGAGGTGGATAACGTAAGGATGTAAGTTGTCTATCAGCCTATCGGTCGACCCGGTTTCTAAATTACCGCTTTGAGAAATCTACAATCGAATCAAGACAATTAATTCCAGTAATTCTTTGGCAAATGGTCTGTCCCGGATATATTAGACCCCGTTCCTCGTCAGTGCCTGGTCGAATCCACATTGGGCTTGCTAAAAGAGGCCCTCTTAGTACCCACAGGGCGGAAAAAGTAAAAAAAAAAAATTCTCTGCCTGTTCGTGAATATGCTTCATCACGCTCATATGGATATTTTAACTGGATATTTAATTAGCAACACTGGTAGCTTATATAATGGTTTAGAAAATTTAAGGCGCACCAGTAGCCAAGCGGTCTTCGTACACTGAACACTAAGAGTTCGGTCGTGAGTTCGCGCCTAGCTCGGACGGGCTGGTCACGTGGAGTTTTCCGGGTTTTCTCCACGTCTGTAACACTTAAATAGGGGCCAGTTTCCCTTAAAAAGACCTCCCGGAAGACATCCCCATAGGCAAATAGCCCAAGTATTGCATTACCATAATTTAACAAACAAACAAAATTTAAGTTAAATTAGATTTATTGTTGAAAGTTATAAGCTCAGCACGCATTATAGCAAATTTTATTTCAGTTCATTGTGGGTATGAGGGTAAGTCTACCTTTTTTCTTAACTGTTTCCGCCTTGTGGACACTAAAAGGGACTCTTTTAGCAAGACCAATATGGGTTCGGCCAGACCCACAATGGGGCGGCCGAGTGGTGAGGAACGGGGCCCATCATATCCAAACGGTGCACCACCCGATAAATTCCTGATGATTTCTCGATTCGTCCGGTTTCGATCCCAGGTCCCCCAAAGTGGTAGGCTACCACACCTTGACCGCTCAACCATTCAGGGGAAATCTACCTTGTAATGAAGTGATCGGAATGACTGAGAAATAGCGAATGCACCCCCGTTTCAAATATTCATGAAAACTTCATGAAATATTACGGAAATCCTAATTAAAGTTCTATTGTAATTTGTCTTTTTAAATTATTAGATGATACTAAAATTTAGAAAAGGGGATCCCTAGATCGGTAAAATAGGCGAATTTCCTTCTACAACTTCGGTTGTTGTTCGGTATACAGTTAAAGTTTTAACAAAGTTCGAGCGAATACGTAATTAGCAAAAAAAGTTGAAATAAAGTGATTAAACAAACATTATTACGAATATCGTAAATAACAGTTCACAAATGCATATAGAAATACTTTTTGAAGGGGGAAATGGTCTTCACAATTTGAAATCGATCGAACACACTGTGCTCGAATGCTCGTGTAAACGCACACCATCTATCGTAGGATAAATGTACTATGCCAAAAACCTTCGCGGGAGTGTATTAAAAAACTTTCCGAAGTTTTATGGCAATCGTACTATGCCACAAACCTTCGCCGGAGTATATTAAACAACTTCCCAAAGTTTCACGGCAATCGGATAAACGGTGTGGTAATGCATGAAGGACA